ATTCTGACAAGAAAAAAAATTAATGAATTTATAAATGTTCAAGATGGATTCTGACAAGAAAAAATTACTGAATTTATAAATGTTCAAGATGGATTCTGACAAGACAAGAAAAAATTACTGAATGGATTATTTATAAATGTTCAAGATGGATTCTGACAAGAAAAAAATTACTGAATTTATAAATGTTCAAGATGGATTCTGACAAGAAAAAAAATTACTGAATTTATAAATGTTCAAGATGGATTCTGACAAGAAAAAATTACAAGATGAATTTATAAATGTTCAAGATGGATTCTGACAAGAAAAATTAAGATGGATTCTGACAAGAAAAAAATTACTGAATTTATAAATGTTCAAGATGGATTCTGACAAGAAAAAATTATAAATGAAGATGGATTCTGACAAGAAAAAATTAAATTTATAAATGTTCAAGATGGATGGTTCAAGATGGATCTGACAAGAAAAAATTATTGAATTTATAAATGTTCAAGATGGATTCTGACAAGAAAAATTAATGAATTTATAAATGTTCAAGATGGATTCTGACAAGAAAAATTAATGAATTTAAAATGTTCAAGATTTCTGACAAGAAATTTAAAATGTTCAAGATGAATTTATAAATGTTTCTGACAAGATGGATTCTGACAAAGAAAAAATTAAGATGGATTCTGACAAGAAAAAATTACTGAATTTATAAATGTTCAAGATGGATTTATAAATGTTCAAGATGGATTCTGACAAGAAAAAAAAAATTATAAATGTTCAAGATTCTGACAAGAAAAATTAATTTTCTGATAAATGTTCAAGATGGATTCTGACAAGAAAAATTACTGAATTTATAAATGTTCAAGATGGATTCTGACAAGAAAAAATTAAGAAAAAATTTCAAGATGGATTCTGAAAAAAATTATAAATAAATGTTCAAGATGGATTCTGACAAGAAAAATTACTGAATTTATAAATGTTCAACAAGATGGATTCTGGATTCTGACAAGAAAAAATTTATAAATGTTCAAGATGGATTCTGACAATTTAATTTATAAATGTTCAATGGATTATATAAATGTCAAGATGGATTCTGACAAGAAAAATTTATAAATGTTCAAGATGGATTCTGACAAGAAAAAATTACTGAATTTATAAATGTTCAAGATGGATTCTGACAAGAAAAAATTACTGAATTTATAAATGTTCAAGATGGATTCTGACAAGAAAAAATTAATGAATTTATAAATGTTCAAGATGGATTCTGAGTTACTGATTTATAAATGTTCAAGATGGATTCTGACAAGAAAAAAATTAATGAATTTATAAATGTTCAAGATGGATTCTGACAAAGAAAAAATTTATAAATGTTCAATTTCTGATAAATTTATTGTTCAAGATGGATTCTGACAAAAAAAAAATTACTGAATTTATAAATGTTCAAGATGGATTCTGACAAGAAAAAATTAATGAATTTATAAATGTTCAAGATGGATTCTGACAAGAAAAAATTAATGAATTTATAAATGTTCAAGATGGATTCTGACAAGAAAAAGTTACTGAATTTATAAATGTTCAAGATGGATTCTGACAAGAAAAAAATTAATGAATTTAAAATGTTCAAGATATAAATGACATGAAAAAATTAATGAATTTATAAATGTTCAAGATGGATTCTGACAAAAGAAAAAATTAATGAATTTATAAATGTTCAAGATGGATTCTGACAAGAAAAAAAATTACTTTTATAAATGTTCAAGATGGATTCTGACAAAAAATTACAATCAGATGGATTCCATTCAAGATGGATTCTGACAAAACAAAAATTACTAAATTTATAAATGTTCATTATAGATTTCTTAAATGGATGGATTCTCCAAGATGGATTCTGACTTATATTTATAAATGAAGATTGAAAAAAGTAAATCTACATGTAGACCAAGCAGTTAATTCGATATAGTCGCTGCACTTCATGTGAGGGAAAACGTGATCCCAAGAGGGCGCAGAGTGTTGTTTCTTCAAGAGGTTAGCATCAGCCATGCTGGAAGTCATTATAGATTTCTTAGGATCTCCCTGCTATATAGATTGAATAAATCCAATGAGAACGCTACCTTTCCATATTTTCTGTATAGGCGCAATAGATGTTCTTTTATGGATGTATGTAATATTTTCAATTTTAATTAAAATTATAATTGGTTAAGAAACTAATCAAACAGATTTTGACAACTGTGATAAAACATAACAGGTTATCTACATTTTTTTCAAAGATCTAACTCGGATTTTTCAATATATATATATATATATATATATATATAGCATTATTGCTTATTAATTAATAGTATCAGGTATCTGGAAGTCACTCCTTCTAAGGGAAGGAAAACTCTGATTGTAAGCCTCGCTTGCCTTGCGGTCATAACCGAAAAGAGAAAAGGTTATGGAAGTAAATCTAGACAGAAATCCCGTTCTGTATTCCTTTGGATCTTGTTGGTACTTTCAAGAGAATCCGTGTAGTTTAGGCAGAGCAAGGTCTCCATATACCATCGCTCAGACCAGCACTCTAGAAAGGTCACAGCAACCGCACCACAGAAAGACTGAATTTTGACCAAACAGAGCGCTACCTATATCTCACAAGATAAACAGATGCCTACTACTATAGTAATAAATGGCTATTACTTTATAGTAGTAAGATATTTGCTTGATTTACTTAAATGAAGCAATGTCCATTGCTTGTTTAAACCTGGTAGTAGTAATAACACATGATAGATTTAAATTGTCTGAATTTCTTTGATGAAGCTTTGTCATTATTATCCATTTTTAACTCGTCTTTCTTTCATCTGATTTCTATTATTTCTTTGCACCTAATCGTAGTAATAAGATGCAATAGTCTTAAATTGTCTTAATTTCTTAGATGAAGTATTGTCATTATTATATTTTGATTTTTCCTTTCATCTTTCTTATAATTAGTCGTATTACTAAATATTTTGTACTAGCATGCCTGTCCTCCGTAACTTTCATTTACAGGACAGTGGATCTCTTGAAGAGTTGAAGATGACAGTTAAACAATTCAGAGTTATTAATAATAATTCCTTCAAAATTATTTTTTATATCGCTTCAACATATTGTTACGGTTTTTTTTGTGTATATACTGTATATGACTAGTGAGCGAGTCAAAATGACTTAATTCCTTTATAGTCTACCAATAGAAGATTAACCCATCAGAAGCCACAGAACACTGTATCCGTCGTGTATAAAGGCGGCCATCTTTGTTTTACCAGAGGCAACTTGTCCGGCGAACAGGACAGACGGAAGAACTACGCTCTGCTAGCTTGCTACGATATCCACTGCGAACCTGCACTACGCTTTCCTACTGTCTCCGAAATATTCACTGCCAACCTCTGGATTCTATACTCGAGGACGACCGTCATGATAATGTCTAACACATATTGCAACAATTTATTTATTTTTTTTATTATTAGTACCATTGAACACCACATGGTTTTATAGGCCCTTAGTGTCGCTGCGATGGTTTTTGTAGCACTTATGTTTACACGGGGACAGGATTGTCGGCTCTATGCCCAACCAGTCCAGAATTTTGAGTTGTGCTCCTACATTGGTTGCCAAACAAGACGGTACTGTATTTCTAATTAACCCAGAGTCGCTAGAGATGGATTCCTACCTTTCCCAACAGTATTTGTGGATGTAACGAAATCGGTCGGATTTTAAAGTGAGGATGTATATTCGACTTTCGTCGCCGATAACCGATATGCTACCCAAATGCAAGATTGTCGTTATTAACTAGCCGTAAATAAATTTAATTCAAAATGAATGTAATGAATTTATTCAAAAATATGCACTAAAATATCTCTGAGACATTTCTGTACTAACTGCTGTTATTTTTATATGTAATCCCGTCCTTAAAACCTTAACTCAAATAACGTGGATGATGTCTTTAAAAATTGCTTTTCCGCATGTAAAATACGATTGAAAGCTTTCAGCATTATTATAATAGCCATCATAGTCGGGGGATAGCTTCATGTAATTGAACTTCAAAAATAAAAAATATGAAACAGATTGTTAAGTGATCATCGTGACATAGACGTGTACACAGGGATCGCATCGCTTTACATCACAGGCCACAATCTCCACTTATATTGTGAATTCTCTATGTACAATCTTTTAAATATTTCTAAGAAAAAATAATGCTGTTGTTTTTCTGAATGAATGACCAACAGCTGAAATCCATGGACACTGTTGACCAAAGCAACCTCCATCTTCTGACCCCTTTTAGTCAAAACCTTCGATGATTACTTACATTTTGATATTAACCACAGTTATTTTGTGCTCTGCCCAAATATTCCTTGTTTTGCACAAATATTGCATATTGCATTCTATACGCAATAATGGAATGGAAGTGCAAAAGAATCCTTGGAGTTATTACGTTATTAGATACGAGGAGAAAAAGAACCGGTCGAGAAAGAAGAGCAAAATATCTAGTTGATGCGTTCACTTAATATATTTAAACAAAATTCTATCTATCTATCTATCTATCTATCTATCTATCTATCTATCTATGTCAGTCTGTTCATATGTATCAGTCTATGTATCGATCTCAATCTGTTCATATCTATCTATCTATCTATCTATCTATCTATCTATCTATCTATCTATCTATCTATCTATCTATCTCAATATGCTCATATCTATCTATCTATCTATCTATCTAACTACCTACCTACATCTGTTCATATCTATCTATCTATCTATCTATCTATCTATCTATCTATGCTCATATCTCTCTATCTACCTACCTACCAATCTACTTACATACCTACCTAAATTTGTTCATATCTATCTATCTATCTATCTATCTATCTATCTATCTGTTGACATCTATCGCATATATATATATATATATATATATATATATATATATATATATATATATATATATAGCTATCTATTCATCTATCTACCTCAATCTGTTCATATCTATCTCTCTTTCTATCTGTCCAAATATGTTTATATCTATCTATCTATCTATCTATCTATCTATTTCTGTTCATCAAACTTTATCTCCTCGTATCGATTTATTACTCTAATTCTATTCATACCAATCTTCTGCTTCTGTAAATCGAGTCTAAAAGAGCAAGCAAAAAGATAAACCTTATTCAGAGCTACAAAAGACAGGGAATTGTAGATGGCCGTGGCCGCACATATATCATCAATGGACACAGCACATTGAAGAAGATCTTTGTAGTATGTCAACTACAGAAGCTGCAACCCATTTACCGTTAATATTTTGAGCAGAAAGACTTCCGGTTTATCACAGCAACGTTCTTTATCGTCATATATAAGAACCATCTTTAATTTTAGATTACAACAAACCTATGTCCTCAGATCACAACACTCCCTTTATCGTTATATCATAACAAGCCTATTAAACTAATGATAGCAACAAGCTTCTTCATTGTTAAATAACCAAAAAATGTCTTTATCATCAGATAGCAACAACCCACTTTAATCTCAATAACTCACATTATCATCCGCTCACAACCACCCTATTTATCGTCAGATAACAACAAAAATGTTTCGTCTCATCACAACAAACTGTCTTACCCGGAAAGAAATGTGTATACAACAGAAATCAAAGGAAATAATAATAATAATAATAATAATAATAATCACTGTCGCCATCATCATCATCATCATCATCATCAAAAAACTATCAACGTACAAAAACGTTGAAATCTAAATCTCAAAAATGTGGCACATGAGAACATCAACAAATCCAGTTGTAGTTTGTGCCCTCGGATTGATTGGAATAGATTCTAGTAGATTCATTGAAGGGATTCTTAATAGCCCATGACATAAAGATATACAAAAAAAATTGTTCTTACGAGTGCAGCCCATACCTTACGAAGGGCGTAAATTTTTGTAAAATGTAGTTTATTTATGTAAAATGTGATTTCTTTACAAAATTTCTCAGTGAAAAATGCCATGATGCTATTTCTGACATTAGGTCCGTGTTCGGGACCCGGAAAGAAATGAGTACACACCAGAAATCAAAGGAAATAAAACAATAATTGGTTGGTGCAAAAATAATGACGTAATAATGTCGTTTTTTGACGTATTTTTTAACCTCAAAAAACGACATTATTACGTCATTATTTTTGCACCAACCTAATAATATCATGCTGGTTGAATCTAGAAGGTAGCAGAAAATATCCTTAGAATTGGTTTTGATTTGAAAAAAAAAATCGAGATCACTTAACCAGATTTCTTCGGAATGATTTCAGTTTCCAGAAGAGAAAATAATTCTATGAATTATTCGTTAGATTTCTTTATGAAATACGGACTCTAAATGAATTCCACTACAAATAACCTCGAGCGAGACGTTCCGTTATGAATAGATAGCTATCAATCTATTTATATATGCTAACGAAAGTTATAAACATTAAAGTGCATACATACGTGCATACACAAACTAACTCACTGTTTCTCTCTCTGTCCCCCCACACACATATGCATTTTCCTATAATACTTGAATTGTAATTGTACTAATGAACTTTGATGCCTAGACTTTATGAAATTACGTCCAGTACTAAATTGGCGGCAAGTTCTCATCATTTTTTTTTTGTTGAAACAGCTTGATGTAACCTTAACTTCTTTACTGTTACTTTCTTCCAATGTACTTCTCGCTTGTGAAAATATATTCTACGCTTCTTATTGTAAACATCGATCTTCAAATATTTAAATGCAAAGTTAGTCTTCATCCGCTTTCATTTTAATTTGTGTTCCTTTAATGTTCCACGATTTTAATAGCGTTTTTTACTCATGTTCCCTAAAAAAACAGTAAACATTTGCATTTTAGTGGATTTATTGCCTTCCTTGGGGCGTAATGAGTAGAATAAGTTTTGTTATAAAATACGTTATATTTAGTGGATACATATGTTTTAGTTGTTATCTCTGTATGAGTGTTTTGCACACACACACACACACACACACACACACACACACACACACACACACACATATATATATATATATATATATATATATATAATTATTTATTTATTTAAAAATTCGACTTGACATCTATGAAAGTAACTCTATACTGATACTTATTATTAACACCCAACACACACCTACCCAATTTAAACAATTCGCCCTAGCTGTTACCATGGAAATTTTGATTTCAATTTTTAAAACACGTAAATTTCAGAAATACGTTATTCCAAAAAGAATTTCGCTTGAAGATGGAACAGAGCTTACTTTAACTCAATTTAATTTAAATAATTATACTGAAGTTTTCGGCTCTTGTTTTGAAACATGAGACTTCTTATATCGCGATTTGGAATCATATTTTTAAATAAATAATTATATTTATTCTCCACTTTCGTATCGAGCACTATTTTTTAAAAAATAATAACTAAAATACTAAGGGACTTTGGATTATTTCCCTAACCAGTTCCTTCCTATTTTCTATATATTCACACACACACACACACACACACACACACACACACACACACACACACACACACATATATATATATATATATATATATATATATATATATATATATAAGAATGATACGGATAAAGTGTTGTCTAAATTAGGCAAAAATGAAAATAACACTGACATCTCACTTAAATAGATATATTATTTAAGCAAGAATATCTTGAAATACTAAAAAGTAAATTTATTCAATAAAATCGCCATTGACTTTAACGACGGTCTCCAGACAACTTCAGAATCTCCTGCAACTCTTCTGGAGGGTTTCCTTGTTTAAGTTTGTGAATGATGCCATAATCCTTGCTTTCAGTTCATTGTTAGTGTTACAAAAAATGTTGTTAGTCCTCGTTCAACCACGCCCACACATAATAAGCAAGCGGGTCGCAAACTTGGGAGTTACGTAGCCAGATGTAAAGGGTTATTTGGTCGAAGAAATTGTCTGATAACCATTACTGGCATCTCCTGCTTTTTTGACAGGGTGTAGATTCCTTTTGCCAAATATAGGGTCTTCCAGCAGCTACCCTCTTGATCCTATATTTCCTCAAGGCACTTGATTTAATATACGTGTTGAGTCTGAAGCCATCACCAATAAAATCGGGAGTTCTTTTCTTATCAGAAATATCAGAGAAAATTTTCCTTTCTGCTGTACCTTCGTGATCACTGTTAGACTCATCCAACTCTTTCCTAAACCTCTGCACTATACTTAGATTGAAACACAAATACTCAAATGTTCGTATCGGAGCTTCCGGTGCGAATATATGCTTTTTCTGGCGGAGTGAATTGCGTCATGGTACTATTTTTCTCACAGACGGTGCCCAACTGACTCTACTATACTGAGCAGTCCAAAACAAAGATCACGCATGCGCAAAATTAAAAATATGAAATGGCGACAATTTACCCATATATATATGATGGACTCTCCTGTCGTCTTCACCATATTCTTGTTCAGCAATATATATATACGCCTTTTTCATATATGTAATGGAATTTAGTCGAACTGATTTAAATGTCACTTAAGGATTTTATTAAATACTACAAAATTATTTAAATGTAAAATCTGTATCGCTACAGATAATAAAACAATTTTAAAATAATATTAATATAATGTAGATAATCGTTATGACGATTAATTTTAATATAATATAAGAACATTATATATTCCTTCAAAGTTTTTTAAAAAAATCGGGAACTCATGCTAAGTAATTGACTACAAACACTAAATTAATCGATTGGTCTTTAGCAAAACATTTAATGGTTGCATTTTGCCTTCAGTACCTAAATGAGACTGTTTTGGGTTTCGCATTTTGCAGACCATAGGTTGAGGAATTTTCCTCCATACATTTGTGATGGACTGTACCAAGATTAGAATATTTCGTGTTGGCAATATAAAGCATTTTCTTTCGGACTGAGGTCTGAACATAAGTTAGACTACTTCATTACAAATGAAAAGTTGTCACTAATGAATACAATAGTTATACTTACAGAATGACAACTCTTAATAATAGTGAAATTATTAACTTAAGTTAGTACAGAAATTATTACCTGAAGTTCAACAACAAATAAATAATAACATCACTTGGACCTATATATTCAGCAATCTATGTCGCATATTCAATGCGGTTTACTAATAATAACAAAAAAGTTGTTGGTCTATGAGGACACACTCTTCAGGTCCAAAACGTATCACTTACCTGAAATCACAAATTAATTTCTGTTATGTTCTCAATTAGACCCTTCTTAAAAGGTAGGAAAAATCTCGTGTGTATGTTCAGTATAACACCTGCTTACCCTGCAAAACTTTTACTAAAGTAAACTTATTTGCAAAATGCGTCAATGTCTGAAGCTGAAACAAAGACGCTTCGATTATACAAGTGTTATTATGCCAAAAGATAACCAAAGTATTTGAACTTTACTTTAACAGAAATATTTCCTTATAACCAGAAGAAATCGATATGTCCCTTCAGGTTATTGCAATGTTTCCATCAGCATATATATATATATATATATATGTGTGTGTGTGTGTGTGTGAGTGTGTGTGTGTGTGTGTGTGTGTCTGTGTGTGTGTGTGTGTCTGTGTGTGTCTGTGTGTGTGAAAAGCATCACACAAAACTTTTTCCACTTTGTCAACATATATGTAAGTTTGTGTGTGTGTCTGTGTGTGTGAAAAGCATCACACAAAATATTTCCACTTTGTCAACTTATATATATATATATATATATATAATATATATATATATATATGTATGTGTATGTGTGTGTTTGTGTGTGTGTCTGTGTGTTTGTCTGTGTCTCTGTGTGTCTATGTGTGTCTGTGTGTGTGAAAAGCATCACACAAAACTTTTTCCACTTTGTCAACATATATATAAGTTTGTGTGCGTGTCTGTGTGTGTGAAAAGCATCACACAAAATATTTTCCACTTTGTCAACATATATATATATATATATGTGTGTGTGTGTGTGTGTGTGTCTGTGTCTGTGTGTGAAAAGCATCACACAAATTTTTACCACTTTGTCAACATATATATAAGTTTTGTGTGTGTC